AAACAAATAAATCAATATGATAGACAGCAACCAATGGCAATCACTAAATTAATTAATTCTAACTTACAACGGGCAAAAACAGAATACATGTGTTTGGTAATGGGGGTAAACATGTTTGAATGTTAAGAAGCGCTAAACTCTTTCCTAGCCTGGAATAGAAGTCTAAGAGCACACTATAAGAACAAACTGAAAAAAATCAGCTGACAAGGGCTATGCCGTGTTATCATTAATAATAATAAAGATTTATAAGGGTCTGAGTATCTGAAAAACTTGCATTCATTTCTTTTTATCTCTGACTTAACCACATCTTATATGTTAATTACAGAAGCGTATTAGGGCCATCATTTTTATTTTTTTTCTAATTGTCGACCCTAATCTTGGAATTATCAACTTTAATATTGGAATTTCCAACTTTAATCTTGGAATTATCAACTTTAATCTTGGAATTATCAACATTAATCTTGGGATTATCAACTTTTCCCATAAGGAGGTGAAAGATAGGCGAAAGATACCAGGGGGACATTCAAACTCATAAATCGAAAATAAACTGACAACGCCATGACTAAAAAAGAAAAAGACAAACAGACAAACAATAGTACACAAAACACAACATAGAAAACAAAAGACTAAGCAACACGAACCCCACCAAAAACTGGGGGTGATCTTAGGTGCTAATTTTTTTTCTTTCTTCCTTAGAAGTTCCTGTATGAAGTCAGTATCATAAGAATAAAGGAACAAGTCGGCAAGAAGACTTATAGATTAGGCCGTTAGTTTTCTCACTTGCAATGCATTATATTCTTTTATGTCGGGGACGTTTATAGCCGACTATACGGTATATGTCTTTCTCGTTGTTGAATTCTGTTTGCCTATAATTGCTTAAACCCACTTTATTTGAACTTTAGTTGATATTTGTTTGTCTCATTGGCGTTCATACCACATCACTTTATTTGTATATTGCTCTAGTAAAGTATTTTTTTATAAATCCAAGGTGACTTTGGAGCAAAACAAAATTATGCATGACTTGTTTCAAATATTATAGGACAACCAACAATTTTTCTTTATCAGGTTGAACAGGTTTTTCCTTAATTTGCGCAGGTTACCACCAAACAAATAAAAGACGTTATGTGGGAAGTCAGTACATGCTAAGGACCATACAGGAGTAGATGTAACTTTGCAGAAAGTGTGACGCACATTACTGATAGTGGACAGGATTGTGATGTAATGTTGAATTACATTAGCAGTAGGGATGTTTATGTGAATCTTAGCGAGGGACAAGATACAAGAAGTTTCATCAAGGTTATACGATGTAACATGTCAATAAGAGGGAACCCGAAATAAATGAGATCAAACGAAGCTCGCTAATCGAAATTTGAATCTGGTTGCAAGGAACTGCAAGCATCGATGCAAAACTAGAAATAGAATTGGAAAGAACTATGTCATGTAATGGGAATTCACGTATGCTGCTGACACTCCATAGTAAACCGGCTGCAGTAAAACATTTATCTAATCGGTCCAGCAAAGCTAAATGCTCACTATTAATTAGTCAATAATGGTATGTTCTGATATATACAAACGGGGTACCACACATTTTGAAAGAGCGACCAATATGAACCACAACATGTGATCCAGACGAAGGAACTCACTGAATGATCGTAATGTTGAAAGGTATCTCTTAATGTGTGGAAAAGAGTGAAAATAAAATTGTTTATGAAGACTATTGTAAATATTTGTGTGAACTTAATAAGCAATGCCAAAAGTCACGGATTTAAACATTTGAAGTAGGTCGATAAAGACCCTAATTCAAATTGTCAATAAAGACTCTTGTGTATATCTTTTGTGTAAATCAAACCTAATTGTCCAATGACAATCTTGTTTCAGTATTATGTTCACGAAATTAAAAATACAAACACAAATTACGGTGGGTCAGCTTGTCTTCTATGTTGTTAATTAAAATAATAATTTTTTGAAGGTTGATGTATGAAATGATGTACATCACTACGAGAACATCCAACATACATAAAATCAAGACACATCCAGGTATGAACATAACATCATCAAACATAACTAATTTGATTTACATTGTTCATATTTTAATTTGGACATGGACTTGTGCGTTCTGTTTGTTTTTCTTCTTTCTATTTTGGTCAATGCACATTTAATGCGATTACATAATAAGCAAAACAAGAAGAAAATGAATAACACCATTTTTTTATTTTATAAGCTTGTTAATATACATCATGTATAGTCATAATTAAAGCTATGTTGATTAACGCATCCAAAAGCTACAATTCTGTGTATAATATAAGTGGCCAGAGCTGCTGATATTGCAACACAATAAGAAAAAGCTATTTCTTAGAATTATAACATTGTGGTATAGTTAAAAAAAAAACCAAAGATTGTACATTTGAGGAATAATATACGCCCCCCCCCCCCCTTTTAGCAGTCATTTAGCGTAATGCTAAGTTCCATCATACAACCAATTAAAAAAAGGTTTAAGAGAATACATTAAATATAACGCAAACTTAATAATTAAACGCCATCATGATTTCGTTGAATGTTAAGATTTACCTTTTTCACATATTACTGTAGGTATGTTCCACTTATCCTAACAACAATCCCATCCCCGTTGCCCTGATGGTTATATTAGTGAATTCGATTTATCCCAGATTTGTACCAACTAGCATGAAAACTCGACTGTTGCAACTGACGGAGCAGCAACTGTTACCAACCAGAAGCACATGACTTAAACCTTTATTTTAATAATAATGCAACATTGAAAGAAGGTAAGGTAAATAATACACATTAGTAACCTTGAAAGATGTAACCATATGTAACCTATTGCCATTGTTTTTTTATTTGTTCAAGGAAAATAGATACATATATGTTCTAGTTAAGGCAAAATCAGGGCAAGCAAGCTACGACTTTGTACAAACATTTTCACGTTACAGGTACTAAAATAATAACTGTATTCTGAAGTATGCATATGATAATATTAGTCTTTAATCATGAACATTACATTATGTGTACAAAAAAAAAAGCAAAACAAAAATGGTGAAAACGTTAATAACTGTCAAAACAATTCGTCTTGGGAAAACTTACTCGAAAACCGGAAATTTATATTTGTTATCAGAGTACGTACGATCAAGCATTTTTTTTAAATCTATCTGCAGTAGTAAAAAAATATGTTAAAATGTAAGGGGAAGTGTTTATTGTCAGTTCTGCAAATATAGAACAAAGACAATTTCCCCCGAAGCAATTAAGAAAATTCAAACGTCTTCGAACATGTTCAAATAGTTGAAACACAATAATGTATACATGACAAAGTTGTAAGAGGATAGTCACAAACTTGAAAAAACCAGGCGTTTATTAGTCATATTTAACATGAAGTTACATGCAATATTTTAGTACTATTGAACAAATCATTAGAGTCATAAGCAATGTAATACCATACAGTTACACTGTACATTCTAAATACAACATACATAATAAGAAATTATGAACATAATGAATACTCACCTACAAAAAGCACCAATACAGTATGTTAACACGATAAGGTAACAATACTTACTATTAGTAAGTGTAAACTTTATTGGTCCGAACTCAAGTATAGTCGTGTACATTGGTGTATTAATGTACACGACTATACTTGATTTCAGACCAATAAAGTTTACACTAACTAATAGTTAGTATTGTTACCTTATTATGTTAACATACTGTATTGGTGCTTTTTGTAGGTGATTATTATTCCTTATGTTCATAAATGTTTCTAAAATAAATGGAGCCTAGAATATCCCGGAATGAATAAGATTTCACATTAACTGTTTCTTTTTGCAATTTTTTGTCCCATGTTTGTAGCTGTTATATAAATAAAAAAAAACAAAAAAAAAACATAAACCGACCATCCAATCAATAGACGAAATACCAAAAAAAAATGTGTGATAAATCTTAAATTGTGTTCTGTTTTTCATTAATGATAAGTATGATCACTATGATGTTATAACATATAGTTGTGACAAACAAGCAATTTGCTAATATCTTTACTTCCTTTTTTAAAACTATCCAGCGTGTAGCTTTTTCTTATATTTTATTATGACCCTGTACTATATGCTATTGATCCTGTCATTAAAATATACCGATATCTATTCGTTTTTAAAAGTATATGATTTGAGAATTACTACGATTATTTTCCACGGGCAAAATTGAAATTCGCATATAAGGCACTCAAAAACATTCGATGTTATGCTTATTTTCCTTTTTAATCAATAAACATATTAGTTCTGATATTATTAGATAGTTGATGTGACAAATTAATGGGGAACATAATAAATGTAATTATATCTCTTGTACTAAAAAAACCCAGAACGTACACAAATGTTTTCTTTAAATGGTATCCATAATATCAAGGATATTACAGCCGATGATGCTGCTGTCAGCTAGCGTATTTAAGCGTATACACTTTTTTTTCCAGAGAAAAACAGTAAACTAGACTGGTATTTTATTCATTCATAGAAAAGAGTTTGTGTACTAATTGATATTCTTTCTGTGAAATGTTTTCATAGATACATATGTTCTCCCAAAATTAATTCTGAGGTGACAAAACTATGAAAATTCAGCAATCATATCATATTTAGACAGGTACATTAAGTCATTGTCAGATTTAACTACTTTAGGAAGCTCACTCTTCCTTTTTAGTGAGTGCATTTGCATTTTAAGAAAAACAAGGTCACACACTAATAGAGTTTAGCATACCAGGACTCATTTGTTTCCGGGTAAAGTTTTCGTGAGATTCTTGTTAAACAATGTGTTGCAATATGTTTTCAAACGCGTATGCATTAAAAGACCGATATTCGACCAATTATAAATGTTGTGTAAACAAGTGTAAAATGTAAATGTTTTAATACAGACTGCAAAGTTAAAGTGTCTAACTGATACTGACATTAAAAGAAGTATTTGTTCTTTAAACTTGCAGCCAATAATTCCATCAAGCAACAAATGTTGTCTATGTAGCAGAATTTTGTATTTGATTTTGTTGGACAGTGTCTATCTTAGATAGATTTTAACTATGAAAGTATTGGTCAACATTGCTGATATACATTTTACCTTTATATTATACATGCATATATGTACTTATATGAGGCTTCTCGGAACAATTAACACATTCAGTTATGACCATAAACTGTATTTACTATTTCTATTGATAAAATGCTTCTTAGAACAATTAACACATTCAGTTTGGACAATAAACTATATCAATCATTGTACGGCCTTGTTTATTTTAAGAGTTACTTCAAGAAAATAAGCGAACTAGCAGAAAAAAAGATACAATAAAAATTAAAAACATGGTATACACTAAACTATATCAAATTTATGATATTACAAGACGTAAAAGTGATATTTCAAACAGAAAGAAGACTTTATTGATCAGTATACCATAAATGTTTAAACACGGTTAACCTAAATTAACGTTTTTTCACAAAGTAATAAATATGTATATTGATATAGTCATATTTCTTTGAATTATCTATTTGAATTAACAGTTAAAATTGAATTATTAATGCTTTTCATAAAGTTGAATATTCTCTGAGAATTGCGCACTCGTTTTTCACCCGGAGCAAACAGAAGAAAGTTATTTTGATAACAGTCAAAACAAATCTAATAAAGTTTTCTCAACGATTTGTACATTTTTGCCAATGTTAATGAATGCACTTGCGATATTCCTCAAAGTTGGTTTCAAACTGTGCATTTTGCAAAACTTGAACCTCCATTCTTCTAAAATGTCCTTGTTCAGTCGTACCAAATCTCGTTCATTTTGCCTGTGGGCGATCTGTTCCCAGGTCTGAAACTCCATTCCAAGTTCTATCAGGAACGGGAGTGAGTTATTTCCAACCAATGGAGCCAATCTGTCAATGTGCTCCTCTGTGAGTACCTTATCCCATTTATCTGCTTCCTTTTCTGTGATGTTTAAAGATATTTGATTATTAGTCAAAATTAAAAAAGAGCATAGTTCATCAAAGATATGCAAATAAAGGATAACTGTGTATATAATTCTGAACTAATAATTGTTGATTCTCTCATAGGGTCTTTGCATCGGAAATAAACACTATTATTCTAAAACCAGTTGTTGGCATGATACGGATTATGTTCTTATCATATATTTTATGATTGTATGATACTAAACCCCTAACGGGAGGGATTGTACTTGATTTTCATATGATGAAGACATAATTTTTCAATCAGTTTAATTGTGGTCTGGAGCTGGCATGTCAGTAACTGCTAGTAGTCCTTTGTTAATGTATGTATCATTGTCAATTTGCTTAGTTTCTTTTGTTACCTATTCTGACATCGGACGCGGACTTCTTTTAAACTGAGTTTTACTGTGCGTATTGCTATGTGTTTCTTTATTCTACATTGGCTAGAGGTATAGGGGGAGGGTTGAGATCTCACAAAACATGTTTAACCCCGCCGCATTTTTGCGCCTGTCCCAAGTCAGGAGCCTCTGACCTTTGTTAGTCTTGTATGTTTTTTAATTTTAGTTCATTTATATGTTTTGGAGTTTAGTGTGACGTCCATTTTCACTGAACTAGTACACACTTTTAGGGGCCAGCTGCGGACCGCCTCCGGGTGCGGGGTTTTCTCGCTGCGTTGGAGAGCCATTGGTGGCCTTCGGCTGTTGCCTGCTCTTTGGTCGGGTTGTTGTCTCTTTGGCATATTCCCCATTTCCATTCTCAATTTTGTTGCAATGCAAATTGTATGGACATTTTATAGACAATGCAGAACCTTATCAAATGATCTTTCATATATGAAAATATTGAATTCAATTGAGTACAAAAGTGGACCTATGAAACATGTTAAATTACACCGTATGAATAAATTTGAATTTAGGGACTCAGCTCAAGATTTGTTGGAGACAATAAACGCAGAGAAAAAACGAGGGATTGCAATAATGATATACTTATCTATCACTATGCTCATACAGGCTTAGGAAAATACTGGAGTCTAATAACTCACCAAAATCAACAGATTTGCCTTTCACAAGCTGTAATACAAGGGGAAAAACAGTTACTATTAGATGACTTCGACTGTGATCATATTATCCGAAGCATATTTTTATTTTGATAAATTAAGGCAGTACTATTTTGAAGAAACAAAACATAAGTCCAATAAATGTGATCATAGAAATAAATGTTATGGTATTAGTTTCCGGAAAATTGAATGCAATGTACATGGTGTAATACCATAGCTATATTTTTTTTTTTTATATTTTATAGTTTATCATTGTCTTGTACATCGACAGGAAAGTGGTAGAACAAAGTAAGAAATCAGAAAACAAATAAATTGAAGGGATTGGGCAAAGACGTTCTAACTAAATTTTGTGATTCATCAAAATGTGTTTACCTTGCAAAGTATGTGGATACTTTCTTGGCCACTTTCCTCCACAGCTTCTTTGATATGCTTAAAAGTAACCAAAATACTATCCCTGCATCGTCTCAAAACTTCAAAATTCCATTTCCTTGAATCTTCAGTTTCTAGAATGCTATCCATGTCCTTGGTCGACAATCCTAATTTGATTGTTATTTCCCTGGCTTCATTTTTACTGAACAATAATGACATACGACGTAGGTGTAGATCTGATGGCGTCACTTTCAAAAAGTCGTCATTTGTAACTGGATTGGAAAGATTGTATATTGTATAAATAACAACATTATTATCATAGAAAGTCATTTTTACATAGCGATGTGTATTTCGATCAAATGATTGAGTTGCGGTACTCTGAGAAAAAATGGGCCAGTGCCATACACAAAATGTCTTTTATATATAAATGACAAAACTTATATTATTCGCACTGCATTTTAAGGGTCAAGGTTCTTTCTTTATATATTCATTGAACATTGAGGTGGTAGAATAAAGTAACGGGGTATATTATAACCAGCATTAAACGGTTAATAATCAGAGAGTTTTGAATTTTATTTTTTTTTTCTTATTTTTTTTTTATTTCCGATGTCTCCAAATTCTACGTCATATCAGACAGAAATAATTGTCATTATATAACTCTGTGTATAACAAAGGTAGGACGTAAATACAAACTACATAAATCTTCGTTACCGACTAAACATATAATACGTGGGCACCCTATTCTTGTGTATAACAAAGGTAGGACGTACAGTCCGTGTAACGTAAAAGTTAACAATACGAACGATGCCCGAATCATGTACGGACGATGCCCGAACGATGTACGTACGCTGCCCGAACGGTGTACGAATGCAAACGAAACGCTGACCGAACGTTGTACGGACGCTGAACGAATGATGTACGAACGAAACCATATACCATAAACCATACCATAAACGGTAACATAAGCGCCCTTTTATCGTACATCGTATGGTTTTGCGTACATCGTTTCATTAAGCGTATACCGTATCGTTCAGCGTATTAGCGTACATCGTTTCGTTTAGCGTATATCGTATCGTTTAGCGTACATCGTTTCTTGGAGTGCATAGTTTCGTTTAGCGTATATGTTTTTTTTTAAATATAAAACATGAATGGTGTTCTGTTTAATTTTTTTATATAGGTGATAATAGGCGTAAAATTTAGATTGGATGCATGTTTCAGTTTTTAAATAATAATTTAATAAATTATAATTTGATCTGACTCGATGTTGATCCAAAATTATTTACATAAAACGTTTGAAAAATAAACACTGAAATAAATTTAAACAAATTAAAAGATACGATTATGAATTTTGTTAGCCGTAGAAATACGTACTTAGTGAATGTGCGTGTAAACTGCAGTCTGCATGGTATTTAGTCAACATTTTTTGAAAATAGCCAAAGGTATTAACATTATTTTTTTTACCTAAATGAACAATTGATTTAAGATGGAATTCGGAATTAATCTAATGTTCTTACAAAAGTTTATTTGGGGTCTTAAGGTTGACCTTTTGTCCAAAAGGTTTGTTAAATATTTTTATGTATTCTCTTTTATCGCATGTATTTTAAAATCGACTGAATTGTATCCATATATCGTAATTAAACCAATTTTTTTAGATTATAGATTTTTTTTATTCATCTATCAAATCAGTCGAAAAAAACAAATATTCGAGAAATTTCAAATAAAAACAATTACTCGTTATGTGCCTCATCAACCCTAAACATAAATCCCTACCGATGTACATACGATTGTGTATTATTTTAACTATAAATGCGCTTGACTTTAAACTATCATCAACAATTGTCCAGCAAACAAACTAGACCCTCTATTCTTTAATTTTCTTATACCATTTTCCTCTGTTCTTTATTTTTCCCGTTATACTCTATTCTAATTTCATATTTTTTTTTCTTTATTTTCCTGTATCTATACCTCCTTTATTCGGAGCAACCCCACCCTAAATATACATATGATACACACGGTCTATAGGTCATCGCTTGTGCCGTGATACATGTTTGCATAACAAACGATGTCCTTGTTCATATTTATAACATTTTAAATGTCCTCCTAATAATACATATAATAGTTGCCACTGGACATTAAACAGCTAACTCTAAATTCATCCGTCATATTCTTAGTTTTGTTATAATGTGTAAATCACACAACATGATGAACAAATAATTATTGCAGATTTTCACTGCTGAAATAATGGGAAATAATTGTAAACAAAACCACTCAATCACATCCCTACGCCACAAAGTCTAGCCTTTTCACATGTAAATAAATTATTTTCATAAATCTATTTTAAAATAATTTTAAACAATTTTAAATCAAACCGTCATTTTTCTTATTTGCCAAAAAAAAAAACAACATCAAACAGTTATTTTCATTTCTTATTTTAAACAGATCGATTGTTTTCAAAGGTCGGTGCCTGACAGCATCTATAAAATCTATCACCATGTTTGCCAATAAGAAAGCTTCATAGAACAGGAAAACAACAATGTCTTATAGAAATACTTCCAGGCCATATTTTCCAATTTCTGTTGTAATGTGGTTTAATGCAAAAAAGGTAACTTCTGAATACTGATTTGTACCCATCAAGCATTTGGGGTTAATAACAAATCTATGGTAGTCTCTTTTTCTTTACTCGCAAAGTATTCGACTAAATCATGTTATATTTATGAAAATTGCTCATTGCTGACGAATGTTAAATATTGATCCCTAGATTTTCAATTGTTTAGTTGTTAGGTTACTGTCTGATCTCGCAAACCTGACATTTTATGGTCATTATGTTTTGCATCCAATTGCACCAATTTATTAAAAAGATATTAACGCGACACCGTACGAGAGTCGTTACTTTACATAAACTACTAGTATTTTTTTTTTCTATAACGAAATACGAAACCACTTCTCGCAATTCGCTTTGGGGTAATTGTGCTTCTCTTTTGACAAAATATGGCCTTGTCTCAAAAACAAAAAGTATAATATAATATAGAGTAATATATAAAACTGGACTAGAGTGAAGAGTTAGGAAGTAGGAATTCCGAATTTTAATTGAATGTTCTAAATCTTTGTGTATTTCTTATAAATGATTGTACAGACTCAAAAAAGTCTTTGTTTTGCTGAAATGAAAGGTCACCGTCACCAGCCAATAGAAGCAAAATGGATATAGTAGATCTTTCTAATTTTGAAAATAATATTTCTGTTGCTTCGTTGATAAAAGGGCACTTAAAAAATAATGAATACTATCCTCAACAGGGTGGCCACAACTGCATACGGGATTGGGTTTAATATTAATAAGGTTTAAATCTGCATTTGAAGAACTGCACCATATTTCTCAACTGTGTATCAATGATATTAAGATTTCTATCACCACAACTTAACTAGGAAGTGCTTACTGTGAATAAATTATTATACTCAGTTTACTATTGCTTACAACAATTTATCACATATAATACCACGTTAACAATTAGGCCCGAGAACACAGTTATTTCGTAGTGCATTTCTTTTAGACAATAAATTCAAATTAAAAAAATTGCACCTGCTCTATCTCAAGAAAGATTTTTACAGTGTAGTGTACTACTATTGGGACAAATAATATCAAAATTATAGAAACTTCTACCAGCTCCAGAGGAGGGGCGACAGCCTTAGGTGCTGTGTGCAAATTTGTGTAGGTCACGTGGTACGATTTTAGCGTCTCTCGACAATTTTGAATCTGGAAAAAGATCGATCTGTTCATGTTTTTATATCAAATATAATCTCTTGCACTCGCAGAAAATATAGAAAGTTTTGAAATAAGAAGATTAATCAATGATAGAAGATCACTTTATATGAAATATTTTCTTTATGTTTTTTATCTTTTAAGTAAATTCTATCAATAAAGAAATGCACTGTAATGGCGGGAAATTTTATTCGATCTCTGCGAAATCACGAGGCACAGATTTTTGTAAATTTTACAAATGTCAGCACGTGAAAAGCATTCAAATTTATGCCAATTAAAGAACACTATTCAAACATTCCAAATCTTCTTAAGTCTCCTTAAGTCTCCAGCCGTTGTTTTGTAATAAGTCGCTAAAATATGATTTCCGGTTAGTAAAATATCAATAATATTTGTCAAATCCGCTAGTAATTATGTTATTTTAGGCATATAAACTCTTATATGTATTTTAATCATTTTGAAAACAAAATGAAAATTTCGTCTTATGAATAACCATCATGACAAATATAGTTTTTTTTTCATAATTGAATCGTGCATTATTTGTGTATTGGATTGCTTAATTGCCTTCTCTCTAGTGTTATCTCTGTTTTGTTAACTGACAAATGACGAAATAATGCAATATTTAAAATTAAGTATTTTACAAAACTTTGTCCCGATTAAAAACTTAAAACCGATTGAATAAATTGAGAATTCAGTGATTATCGATGTCGAAATTAGCCCTTGGTAATAAACAGTCAGTTTGGGTATAAATATGTTTATTGTCAAGAAATAACTAACAAATTTGTTTATTATGTATGTACAAAATATATGTATATTGCATGATCAGCCCTCCTGTATATTACTTGTTTTTTTAATTGATTCAACAAATTTCGTTTGTCCAGGTGTCATTAACGGTGATGTCAACACCACGAGTAGTTTGATATAAATGACACAATACCACCGCGACCGATCGATAATATAAGACAAATCTGCGTGCCGTGTGCAGAGTGTCGTCCCTCCTCTATACCAGCCGTCTAACTCAAAATATTGACAATTCTGTGATAAGGGGGTCTAAAATTCAGTTTGACAGCTTCAGACGTACTAATTTTTTACCTATTTTAACTGGTCCAAATCACTCCTTCACATAAAGATTCAGCACCCAAATTGTTTTAACATGTAATTTCATCCCCCTTCTTGATATTTCATGCATTAAATTTCAAGAACTAAATTGGGAAAGTATATCCAAAAAAAAAAATGCAAGTTATACACTGTTCACACTAGGGACTATATTCGTAGAGTGACGGTGTTTGACAGTCTGAAGGAGACAGCATCAAGGATTTAATAAGGCAAAGCTTTTGTTGTACTCAATCTTACTTTAAGTTTTCTTTATTATATTTAATAGATATATATCCGAGAAACGATAATGTAATTTTCTTTTTTATATCAAACCTGATCATCTATGATATATATATGGAACTTTTTAACGACCTTGGCTGGCTATACAGCCCTTGCACGGTCGGTTCATCTATGATGATGATGGGAGTTTTTAACGACCTTGACTGGCTATACAGCCCTCGCACGGTCGGTGTGCAAATGATGTCATCTATAATACAACAAATGGAAGTTTTTTAACGACCTTGACTGGCTATACAGCCCTTGCACGGTCGGTCATCTATAATGGGATATTACGACTTTTTATACATATTGATAGTTTAATCAATATCTGATTGGTTGAGACTATCCCACGTGTCGTTGAACAAATCTTCATATTCCATTCTGAGGATCATATTCCCCTCTGAAATGTCGGGATTACATACGCGCGGTTAATGTACATAACGTTTTGAACTTCTTATTCTTCTTAAAATAGCGATAGCAATAATCATTATCATGTTAAAATTTATTTCAGACGATGAAACAAAAAGACTTATAATTAAATTTTGATCCGTACTGTTTATCAATGGGTATGTCGTGTTTTGTTTAACTTAT